AAAATCCCTGAATTCAAAATCCCAGTCTTTACCGGGATTCGAACCAGAGACCACTCCCCTTACATCAACTACAAAGTACATTCAACAATTACATTTCAACATGTCATCTTTGCATTAAGGTCGACAACTTTTTATTTTCTCATAATTTCATGCCAAAGTAACAGCAGACTTTGAAAAGACGTTTACAAGTGTATCTAATAAATGACTATCTGTGATTAACAATGAAATCATTAAGATCCTTCAAAGCTGAAGTGCACAAGACAGTATACAAATCTAATATTAACAACTAGTTTAACAGCAAAAATGAGAATACATTTATTTCAAAGATTTAAAAAATGAATATAGAACTACACTTCATATTTAAAGGTCACCACCCACAGAGTTTAAATGTCAAGGCATTCATTAACCAGGTTATGAAGGCATTGACGGCTTGCCGACACGGTTCATTGTGTCATGGGTGCACGAAATCAATGAAAATAAAAATCGATCTACTTCAAAAAAAAAGCTGGCATAAAGAAGTAGTTCATTTTTTTAAAGTTTGCAAAAAAAAAAAAAAAAAGACCAAGAGAGAAGTAGATATTACGAAAAGATATAGACAAATATCGGAATTGTGAATATATAGGTGAGTTGATTGAACACATCACCTGCTGCTGGTATGGTAGTACTTCAATGGCACAAAGACATAGATATTAAAAAGTATCTTATATAAGATAAGATAAGATAATTTTTATTGATTCAGTCTAACGGAAATTCAGTTTGACTACAATCGACAAGCTCAGCGAAACTACTGTACAAAAATAATATGGATGAAAAATTCGAACAACATTCACACACGAAACACATACACATTCACAACCAAAGCTTTATGAATTTGATTTCTATGTACTTCTCCAGTAAGTAAAAAAAAAAAAGTCCCCTTTCAAACATTATGATCTATTGACAGAGGATGTAAATGTCCTCTATTTCTGTTTAACGAGGGTGTCACGTGACCAGCACAATGACCAACCGCTTTTATTTTTCCCCAGCAACAACTTTAGTAAAAATCACTAAATTTAGAAAGCCTTCAGGACAGAAGACTCAAAAGTAAAGTAGCAAATTATACATAAAACACTGAACCATAATCTTCAAATACAAAAATAAAATTTAATGAAATACTCAGAAAGACACAAAGATAAAGGCACTAACTTCGTCCCATATGCTAGGACAAATTTGTACAAGTGCTCCTTCTTCCCTAATGCTATTAGAGCATGGAATGGGTTGCCTGAAAACCAGGAAAACCAGTGACTTGGCAGAATTTAGGTCATTGGTTAATATGCATGAATGCATGACGCGTAGGACGTAATCATCCATAATTCTGAAGGGATATCCAAATCAAAACAAACAATTGTCACTGACATCTATTTCGCATCCTTTTCATACATGTTATATTATCAGTTATTTGCAAGATACAACAACCGGCGGTAGTTATAATGTTTTCGAAAAGTGACTGGTTTGCAAGTTGCAAATGATCCAAAACCAACAAACGCCTTCACCATAGTAAAAGGAAATACAGTAATATATAGGCAGTTGGTGAAAAACTACTTAAAATGTTCCGAAAAAATGAACCTTCTTTTAAACATTTAAGTATCCAGATAAGATGAACATGATTATGATCATTTTTATAACACACTTCGGGTGAAAGGTAGAGCACCATTTAAATAGAGGTCACCCATAAATAAACTCTCTTTAATAACGATTTAATAATTATTTGATGCTCGATGGTAATCAATAGCGAACGTCTAATGATCGAATGCGTAAAGACCACCAGTTACTGAGTAATAAATAATACAAGGACTATTGAATTGCTCAGATTGACTGCTCTACAATCGTGATAAGGTAGAGATCTAGAAACTGTATTGAAAACTAAACAAAATAATCATCCATTGTTTGCTTTATTAATACTTGTAGAGAGTTCCGATGAATAGGTTGTATGAACAAAGATTGTAGCTCAACAAAAGAGCTTACAGAAACATGAGGCGAGACTAATATTGACAAAGTGGCTATAAGCTACTTAAGGGTACAAGGATAGCGTCCTTGACTAAGGGCATCCAGTGAAGCACTTCATGAATAAGTCCAGAACAACATAGCAACTGATATGTGCTGCCACCATTCTGTGCTGGTTGTCATTGGTGCTGTTGTGAGATAACTATTTAAAAGCGAGTTGCCAAAATAACACACAGTTGCTTGATAAACAGACAAGAGAAGCAACTCGTCATCATCAGGATAAACAATTATATGTTTCATAAAGGAAACACTATTCTGAGAAATATCACTGAATTATTTATCTAAAGAAAAGAACGATCTCTGATTGAAGATGTCTAAGGATCTTGATATGATCAATAGAGATCCCAATAATCTGAATGACCACGTAAAGGTAATAATGTTGACCAAATCAAATGTTTGTATTTTGTCCAAATTATGTTGTATGATCTATGTGTGATTAAAAATTATCCAAAAATCCAAACTTCACCAGGATTCGAACCTGGGGCACCTGTTCAGTAGCCAAGCGCTTTACGCTGACCACATTGGACAATATTTTGTTTGTAATATAAAGTGTTGTCTGTCTTCTCCAACTGTTAGTCTAAAGGTCAAATATCGGTTCGTCTGATGCTGACCTAGTTGATATTTGGATGTTGTCTAGGCTTTAGATGGTAATGTCGAAACATAAAAAAATCAAACAAAGCATTAGGATTTATTAAAAGAAATTTCTATAAATCAAATAAGAACATAAAATTAAATGCTATTTAACCTTGGTTAGGCCAATAATAGAATATGCATTCTCCGTTTGGGACCCCTCAACTCAAGATAATATTAAGAAACTGGAACAAACACAAAATAGAGCAGTGAGATTCATAACAAACGAATATTCACACTTAACCAGAGTAACACCTTTAGTAAAATCACTAAATTTAGAAAGCCTTCAGGACAGGAAGGCTCAAAAGTAAAGTAGCAATTATACATAAAACACTGAACCATAATCTTCAAATACAAAAACAAAATTTAATAAAATACATTGAAAGACACAAAGATAAAGGCACATTCCTCGTCCCACATGCTAGGACAAATTTGTACAAATACTCCTTCTTCCCTAGTGCTATTAGAGCATGGAATGGGTTGCCTGAGCTAGCCAGGAAAACCAGTGACTTGGCAGAATTTAAGTCATTGGTTAATATGCATGACTAAATGCATGACGCGTAGGACGTAATCATCGTCTTTTTTTGAAGTATCGTCTGTATTATATAAGATAAGATAAGAAACATCAATTTGTCTTGTGTTTGCAAAGTGTTAGGTATTGGAATTAAATTTAACGCGAAAATTTTGGATTTGTTTATTTTTATTTATTTTCCATGTCGTGACTTAATTATAACAGCAAAGACTAGAAAAAGGAGAGCTAGGTGGCGCCCAAGGATCCCAAAATTAAATATCCAATCTTCACCAGGATTCGAACCAGGGACCTGGTTTGTAAGCCAAGCGCTTTACCGCTCAGCCACCTGTACACTATGTTTGTCATGTAAGTAACTTCAACGTTAGCCTAGTCAACACTCCTAAGTCTTTTTTTTTCGTTATGGTTTTACTTCAATAGTTAAAGCAGGAATTGAGAAACCACAATGCGTCATTTGTAACAAAGATCTATTATCACAATCAATCCGAACAATCTGAAACATCACTTTGATATCAAGCATCCGAGCTTTGTCGACAGCGACATACAGAGGCTATGTGAACTGACTGAGTCAAGAAAGCAAGACTTTCCTGCTGGCAAATACTATCAAAAATAAAAATATGTAATACTGCAGAATGGATATGTATAATATGTACATGCTACATTTCAATTGATTTATTGAAACGTCTGTCGTTTCAAATTTGGGTAAACTCCATTTGCATAAAATACATTAAATCAGCAGATGTAACATTTGATAGAAGCGGACGTTCTATCTTCTAACTACAAACGGAGAATGATCTTCAGATTGTCTAGATATTTACATTTCTTTTTTTCTCGTAAACTGCCTTTCAATGGTAAACGTAGTTCCTAAAAAGAAAATTGTATCTCTTTACCTAAAAAACTACATAAATCATGTACGTACGATAAAATATATAGATCTTCATGAGTATATATTCTATTAGCTGTTATATAAATCTTATTCTACTTTTACATTAATGATTTTTCTTTATTGTTAAAGTATCTTTCTATATGTTACTTGTATGATTGTATCCATAGGTTACTTGTATCTTTATGTTACTTGTATCTTTATATTACTTGTATTTTTGTTACTTGTATCTATATGTTACTTGCATCTTTATGCTATCTTCACCTTTGTGCTTTCTATACCTGGATGGCTTCCTGGTCGTGTGATATGCGCTCTGGACTGTCTTCTCGATGGTCCCGAGTTCGAACGCTGTCCGCCGTAGCCCCTGCCGTTCTGCGGAAGGTTTGGGCTAGGATGTGATAATCCTAAATTCTGAAGAAAAATTCAAAATACACGCAAAACAAACAAACTAGTGCATTACGTACACAAGTGCATCTATATGTTACATTTTAAATGATTTACATTATTTTTCGGATTATTAATATAATATATTTTTTTGACTTCACGTAGGTTTTATTTGAAGAGATTCTAGGAGAACCAGACGGCGCTCACTCCATCGACTGCGTCTGGAGCTGTGCCTACAAATGCTTCGAATGCTTCAAAGGCTGCTGCTACAAATTTCTAACAGTCCTTTGTGGCATACCACTAGCCATCTGCTGGGGATGTGAGTTTGCCTACATCACTTTCTGGCATGTCTGGTACGTGACCCCATGCATGAGAGCCTACATGATCAACTGTGGATGCCTTCAGAAGTTCTACGGAACATGTCTGCAGTGCTACTTGCAGCCACTGTGTGAAGCCTTGAGCTTCTTCTTTAGCAACATTAAGGTCACCAACATGTCAGGATAATTTTGTTGTTCAACAGAGAAACTGTTGTTTTGGGGGGGGGGGGGGGTTGCATTAATTTTGGCATATTTCGGGGTGATGTAAAAATATTTAAACTATTTATGGCAGCTCTATTGACACTGTCTCGTAGCAATGAACATTCACCCAAAGCGGTTAGAAAGTTTTATAATGACAAAAATACTGGATCTTAATAGCATAATGATATGGTAATTATTTATTTATTAACTGACATCTGTTCCTCCTTTTTCTTCTCATAGTAAAATGGAAAAAAACTCTCTACAAATAATTCTAACTTAATCTTTGTTTGTAAATGTCACTACCTAAAGAATTAAATTTTTTATTGATTTTTTTAAAACTTGTCTTTATTATTTATTCATAATTTGTTTAAGGTGCACTGCGTATTCAAGACTTCAATTAACGCCAAAATTCATATACTGAGGGTATTTGTTATTAGAATGGTTTCTAGATCTAATAATACTCATAACCACCACTATGTGAACCACTAAGTGTACAATCATGTGAACCACTTTGTGAACCACTAAGTGCACAATCATATGAACCACTATGTGAACCACTAAGTGTACAATCATGTGAACCACTATGTGAACCACTAAGTGTACAATCATGTGAACCACTATGTGAATCACTAAGTGTACAATCATGTGAACCACTATGTGAACCACTAAGTGTACAATCATATGAACCACTATGTGAACCACTAAGTGTACAATCATATGAACCACTAAGTGAACAATCATGTGAACCACTATGTGAACCACTAAGTGTACAATCATGTGAACCACTATGTGAACCACTAAGTGTACAATCATGTGAACCACTATGTGAACCACTAAGTGTACAATCATATGAACCACTATGTGAACCACTAAGTGTACAATCATATGAACCACTAAGTGAACAATCATGTGAACCACTATGTGAACCACTAAGTGTACAATCATATGAACCACTATGTGTACAATCATGTGAACCACTATGTGAATCACTAAGTGTACAATCATGTGAACCACTATGTGAACCACTAAGTGTACAATCATATGAACCACTATGTGAACAATCATGTGAACCATGTGAATCACTAAGTGTACAATCATGTGAACCACTATGTGAACCACTAAGTGTACAATCATATGAACCACTATGTGAGCCACTAAGTGTACAATCATTTGAACCACTATGTGAACAATCATATGAACCACTAAGTGTACAATCATATGAACCACTAAGTGAACCACGATGTGAATCACTAAGTGTACAATCATGTGAACCACTATGTGAACCACTAAGTGTACAATCATATGAACCACTATGTGAACCACTAAGTGTACAATCATTTGAACCACTATGTGAACCACCAAGTGTACAATCACATGAACCACTAGGTGTACTATCATGTGAACCACTATGTGAACCACTAAGTGTACAATCATATGAACCACTAAGTGTACAATCATGTGAACCACTAAGTGTACAATCCTGTGAACCCTTATGTGAACCACTAAGTGTACAATCATGTGAACCCTTATGTGAACCACTAAGTGTACAATCATGTGAACCACTAAGTGTACAATCATTTGAACCACTTTGGGAACTACTTGAACCACATAAAGCTGAAAAAAAAATAGCCCTCAAAAAATAAGACCAGCATTTTTTAAAACAAATGTTTATTTTTTTCCCCCATAAGTCAATGTCATGGTCAACGTATTTTTAATTTTCTTCAAAGACATATTGCATTTTCATTTCCGCTTCCTTTTAGAAATGGTCAAAGTAAGAACAGCACTAATAGCATCAAACAGATAGAAATAGAGTCTCTTTTTTTAAATAGATAGATAGATGGATAGATGGATAGATGGATAGATAGATAGATAGATAGATAGATAGATAGATAGATAGATAGATAGATCAATACATTGGCACACATCACATGGGACACAATACATTGGCACACATCACATTGGACACACAATACATTGGCACACATCATATGGGACACACAAAACATTGGCACACATCACATGGGACACACAATACATTGGCACACATCACATTGGACACACAATACATTGGCACACATCACATTGGTCACACAATGCATTGGTACACATCACATTGGACACAGAATACATTGATGTACACATCACATTGGTCACACAATACATTGGCACACATCACATTGGACATAGAATACATTGATGTACACATCACATTGGTCACACAATACATTGGCACACATAACATTGGTCACACAATAAATTGGCACACATCCCATTGGTCACACAATAAATTCGCAACACATCATATTGGACACAGAATACATTGATGTACACATCACATTGGTTACACAACAGAGAGAGAGAGAGATTTGGGTTTTATCGAGATGCTTATAAAGCTGGTCCAAAAGCAATACAATTGCATTCTAAGCTCCATTAGCTGTTTTATATGCAATTTGGTGAAGGCCTAGGCTGTTGTTGACTTATATTACAAGTTATCTAAGTACATATTTTCAAAGTATTTTATAACCATAGGTGTTCGTGCTACTCGGTGGAAATCATTTAAGCTATTTTTATTTTTGGTTACTTTGGTACAGGTACAATTTCTGAAGTTTCTATATTTATGTGGCTTTAGGCACGTTTGTAGCGAATAATTAAAGATGTGAAAGAAGATAAAAGAGATTTGTTCTACACATAATTTGAACAGCTTGCCGCTTATTTTATCGGTTCAAGAAGCCTTTGTTACATTTACTCATCTAAATACTCAGGTCATTTCACCTTCAGTTACAACTCGGATTGAGGCGCAGCCTGTTATTTCTTTAATCCTTCCCAGCATGCTATTGGCTTATTTCGAAAGAGATTCAATTTTTTTTTCTCGGTCTGTTTTTTTTCCCTCAATTAATTTTTTTTCTTTTAAAAAAAAACATATTTGATTTTTTGATCATCCGGGGCTTATTATTTTCAAAAACTTGTTTTTGTTTTTGTTGGAATTTTTAACTCCTCGCAGAATAATAGATACGATTTTCCAGTTGTTTTCTCAATGCATCATCGTAGTTTTTCTACAGCTTCTTCGGACCACATTTTGACCGTTTTTATTACTTTCTTTGTTGTTTCTAAAGTAGGTTTGTAATTAAGCATGCCCAAGTGTATGTGTATGGTCAGATTCTCCAAGAGGGAACAGACTTTTACTCTTGTAAGCCTGCTTAATGTTTAAATAGCATTTGTTGAGTATTCGACGTACTGGCTTAAGTTTGTCAGAGTTTTGTCAATAGAAATCTCCAGTTACGATACAGAGTCTGGGGGTTTTGATTCTACATTGTGAAGCATATCAAGAGTTACGTCCTTAACAACAACACACACGTGTGTGAATTCTCTAGGCAAGCAGTATTAACTCTTTCTCTCCTAATCGACGATACCATCGTTGATATGACTATCATTAAATTAAATTAATATTTAATTTTAAAACCTTTTCTTTATTTTATATAGAAGGAGCATGCATTCCACTTTAATCCTATACGAAATAAAACATTTTCTGATCACAACGAACAAAGCTATTGAAGCTTAAACTTAATATAGTAGTGAAATACTAATGAGCAAAATAAAGAATTCCGTCTGAATGTGAAAACATAATTACCGAGAGAAAGAGTTAAGGCCTAAGTGTAACACACAGAAGTTCAATTTTTGGGTCACAAATTCTATTCCTGATACTCCCATTCTTGGCGTTACACTATCCCTTGCTTAGAGGACAAAATAAATGTAGTGTTGGGAACAAGAGGGAAACATTCAAATGTCGCCTTCGTATAATGCATTTTTTTTTACTTCTAGGCTTCTAGGCATAAAACTGATGATTTAAAGCAGTGATTACCAACATAATTCAATCTGCGGGCCATTTTAATTTCCAACTTTACTATTGCGGGGCACATGATCGAAAAGATACAAAAACTTAATGAAATTGACCAGGAACTATTTTGTATCTTGTACTTACATTAATTATGGGGGCATTTGAATTTTCTTTTTTACTCGTCAGAAAATGGCGTAAGTTCTGGTTATATTTTTTTTCAAACAGCCACACCTTGATAAAACAAACATTTTGGCTAGCATGTTATTATGCTCCATAAAAAAGTAAAGATCCGTTCACTTTTCCTTGTAGATTCTATATTCTGCTTAGGTAGCAATGCATTGAAACTAAATTGAGGGCCCTATCTTAGGTAAAGATACATTTTTAACATTTGGGGGGGGGGGGGGGATTTTCTATATTTTGTGCTTACGTTTCGATGGGCCGGATGGAAGCACGTCACGGGCCGATCTGGCCCGCGGGCCGTATTTTGGGCGTCACTGGTTTAAAAAAATGTTTGCGATGTCTAATGCCATACACTGTTTGCCTCCCAGAGACAACTTAATGATGGGGACTAATTCAACTTACACCGTAACACCTTTTTCGATACAAAATAAAATAATTACCAATAATTAATAATTAATTGGCTAATTAATTTATTGAGTCTTGTTTTGTCGGGTACAAGAAATAATTGTGTAAAATTTTAACTTGATCTGAGATGGGGTGTGGGAGAAAAAACATGTAAAAATTGTACCAGACAGACAGAAAAACACAGTGAGATTGATATGAGCTTTTTTTTTTTTTTTTTTTTTTTTATAAAAGTTAAACCAAAACTTATATGCTATATCTCCAATTGACGCTGAAAGGGTGTAATGAGGGGGGACAATCAGTTGGAGGAGGCTAAAAGAAAAGTAACTAATAAAAAAGGGTGAAACGTGTAAATGCTGGTGTGTGCATGTGTGTGTGTGTGTGTTTCCAGTTAAAAAGCCACATTATAGTAGATTTAATATTTTGAAATTGTATTGAGAAGCCGAAGAAAAGTCAGTAATTGTACGCATACTAACTTTTGAGTAGTGTGCAAAAGGGTGAGGGGGACTGGATAAGTGAAAGTAATACGAGAATTCACGGATCAAAAGCATGTTTGTGTGTGTGTGTCGGAGAGGGCGGGCGTTTTAAAGCGTGTCGTTCTAATTCAAGTCAAAAGTATATGTCAGAGAACATTAGCATGCGCAGGATAGAAAAAAATCATAAAGGGGATTTCAGAGAGAGAAGAGGAAGAGAGCTGGCTGTTTCACTAAATTGTAACAGAAACAATTCACGTGCTAAATAGTATGTTAGTGGGATCGTTAAAATGTGACTCGTCTTTTAAACAGTAAAAAACCTGGGTCAAATTAACGGGAGTAGCCAGTGTGTAATGCTAGTAAGAAGTTGGGGCAACTTTATCATGTGTTGTAGTGCTCTCAGGTTTCTATCCCTCTCTATATATGAGATATTATAAGTCTGACTATCA